CCCTGGAAAGGTGGCTTGGGGCCTGAGGAGGGGTCTCTTGGAGATGGAATGTTGCCCATTGGGATGGGAGAGTCCTATCCTCATACTGTGCAGATAGAAGGTAAAAGATAACTTCAGAAACCCTTATTTTTAAGCAAGTTTCAGGCTTTGCCCCCAAGCCTGACACACCATAATTGAGATGGGTTGAAGACAAGTTCAAGTCTTCCTCTTGGCCAAGCAGGACCTTTGGGTTCTTTGTGTCCCTCAAGTCTCCACAGACCTTCTCTCTCCTGCCCTCCTGCTGCTTTTCTGTGGGTCTTCCCAAGGACTGGGAAGGACTGAGAAGAGCAGTCGGTCGGAAGGGTTCTCCTCCAGCAACGCTCCCTTTCTGCATTTATGTTTCCTTTAGGATTAAAGCCATTCTCCTTGGGCTCTAAACATGGAATGTTTGTCAAGTTTATGAGGGCTTTTAGAGAGGCTTTTAGAGAGTCCAGCCTGTCCCTTTTTTTATAGGGCTGAGATAAGATTATCTTTGTTTTAACACCAATTAAAGCAAGAAGGGTTTATAGGATTAGGGGGTTTCCATCAGCGCAACTTTGATGTCACCACTTGCTTGCTCCGTTTGCCTCTTCCCGCCGTTAAAAGGTTGGGAGCTTTTTCCTGGAATGGTTAACATCCCACCCTCAGGAGACAGAGCTCTCCCAGGCAGAAGCTTTGGAAAACATTTAAACAAGAGCAAACAAAGTACCAAAACGTGAAAGTCCTAAATTCTTCTGGAGACCAGTCAAAGACAGACAGTTTGCCGTCTAAACAAGCACCCTGGAAGAGCTCAACACTGCGAAGTTTATAATGTTTAAACAAAGGGCATGCCTTTTTCCCCCCTGAAAACAGTTTTTATATCAAAATAAAACAAATTGTTGTATTGTTAGGAAGCAAAAGTAAAAGAAAATAAGAAACGCCCACGGTTCTGCAATCAGAAGCTGGGAAACACATCAGCCCGTCCCCTGTGCAGGGAGAAAATGAGGGGCTGAGTAAGGAGAACGTGACATTCGATGTATCTGCTAGCACAGAACGGCGCAGAAATAACTTCATGGTCCGGCAGCTCATCTGGTGCAGACGGGCTGTGCTCCGTGCACGTTGCCCGAGGGCTCCGTGGGGCAGTGCCATTCCCCAGCACCTGAAACTCCACGTTTTTATGTGCATTCCAAGCTGCTGAGACAAGGGTTGGGGGGGAAAACCGTGCAGGTGCCGGCGGTATTTTGCGTTTCCCAGTGTGTTTGGAGAGGGAAGGTCTCCTGCGTGGTGGATTGATGCCAGTGCTGGGTGCTGACCCACGTCTTGCAGGTGGGTCTTTAAAGCACTGCAGGAGGGCAGCAGCCCAGAGTATTGACCGCTGCCACTGTTGTGCTCCTAACCCACAAACTCCCCAAACTCTCTGATTTTGGCTTTCCCTAGGAAAGTTGGTCTTTGGTGGCGAGCAGTCCGCTGTGTCCCTAGGGATGGTGTCACCCTCGGGCTGCAATAACCTCACAAAGCGTCTCCTGAAAAGGTTGGGACTCAGTGTCGCTGTTGCATAGGGCAGGAGTTTCTCCATGGGCATTACCTGAACCTCTCCATCAATGATTTGGTCAAACTTGGACAAACCAAGGATGCTCGGAGCACAGAAAAGACAGAAAGCTTCTAATTTCTCCTTCAAAGTTTCTCCCAGGGGTCAGGAAGGCTTACCCGGGCTCCTGGAGCAGGTAAGACATTCCAGGCATGTTTCCCGCTGACAGGCGGATCCCGTCGGCGCTGACGGATGGGCCGCCCGGCGCGGGGGCTCGCAGGTGCTCATGCCCACAGGTGCTGGCCGCGTGCTCGAGCTTCTGCACCCGCTGGCGAGGAGGTGGTGACCCCGTGTACCCGGCCGAGGTCAAGCGCTAGGGCTGCCCCAGGGCTTCGTTGCAGCCCTCAAGGCCGAGGTGGGGGATGCTGCGAGGCTGCAGGTTCCCATGGTGAGCTCGTCCTGCGTGGGACAAGGGTTGATGTGGCTTTGCCGCGAAACACGTGGACGGGGTGTGCTGCGCGCTTGGTCCCTGTCCCCAAAAGGCTCAGTACTTGCACCATCCCCACTTCCAGGTTTTCTTCTTTTGGGCATTTTGCTTTTAGGAAGGAGCTTGGTGGCACTGTGGATGTGGCGACCAGCCATGAACAAGTCTGAGACCAGCCCAGTGCATTGCCCAGCCCTTTCTCCCACCGAGAGGCATAGGGGAAAGGCAGGTAGAGCACAACGCACCTCCTCAGGCTGGTGTCACCCCCTGAAACGCTGCGTGGTGCAGCTTTGAGAGAGACGCTGCCAAGGGAGCTGGCTCTGAAGACAGCCCGGGTTGAAGCTGGGAGGACATTGGGGCTGTTCAGGGCGTATTGGGGAGTAGCAGAGCAGAGGTCATGGGTTTGGGGGTTCTTCGCGCCTCTCAAGCAGTTGTGCCCATGAGCTGGAGAGCTGGTGAGACTTGGGATCCCCAAGGTGTTGGCAAGGTGCAATGTGCTGTTCCAAGGACCAGCATGGGGAACTACCTGAAATCCATTAGCTTTTCCAGGCTGGTACCATCAGCTTCTGCTTCAGTGCTGCTGAGGATCCCTGCACTAAACAGGTACATTTGCACAGCGACTTCTCAATTTATTGACAACTCTTTAATCCACATTTCACAACTCGCCTGAGCTCTGCAATCCTCTTCAGTTAATCTCATTTAACCCCATTTTCGTTCTTGCATTTACATCCCCCACTCTCCAAGTACCGCCGGCATCTTTGGCCGTGACAGCATCCGGCAAGGGGATTAATTGCTGATCACAAGTACAAGGCAGCCATGGAGGCTGCTAATTAAATTTATCGGGAAGGAAATGGCAGGAAAAGTGCTTGCCGTGGAAGAAGGTTGTCCCAGGAAGGATAGTCCTGGGACAAGGTGTTACCTCCCATCCACAGCTCTCCAAGGCAGGACTGAATCATTTCCTCTGGAGCTGTGTGATGGCCAAGCTGAAGAGACCGTGTCACAGACTTCATGTATGTTTATCCCTGCCTTCCCTCAGGATTAGCAGAACGCAGGAAGGGGCCTCCTGGGTCCCTAGTCCCACCTGCCAGGTCACTGTTGCATTAGATCAGGATGGCCATGGCTTTTAGCCCAGCCTTGCAAGAGGAAGGAGATCCCCCACCTCACTGCGATGTGTCCCCTCCCAGGATGGGGTGACAGGAATTCACTGGGAAAGGGCTCCAAAAAATGGAGTAGTGGGAATGCACTGGGAGAGGGTTACAAAAAAAATCACCTTGGAGCACATAGCAAGGCAAGGGAGGATGTGATGGAGGAAGCAGAGTGAGACCATGGGGCGATGGTCAGAGGTCCTGCCGGGGCTGCCAACAAGGCAGATGTCGGAACGGGCCCGTCCCCTGCAGCAGACTCTGGAAATCAAGGCAGGCAGCTGGGAGATAAGCCCAGGGATTTAAGGCTCTCGTCAGGTCCTAATTGACAGAGCTGGGGCTGCCTGGTTTCTATCAGCTGTTAAAAAAGCCTTGCTCAAGGGGAAGAGGGCAGCGAGGAGAGATGGAGCTGCGGAGGAGCCTCCATCCAGGCTGTTACAGTGGATCGAAGGTGCCATTCCAAAGGGATTTGTTGCAGGAGGGAGCTTCTGCCTTCACGTTTGCAGAAGAGGTCTGAGGTGGGCTGCAAAGGGCAGGTCTTGTTGCATGAAAAGTCTCTCTGCCCCCTGCACAGGTTGCAAATCCCAAAATGCAGAAAACTGTGGCAACATTAGCAGCTTCCAGCATGGATATCGTCCCTTTCCAACAGAAAGACTCCAGGCTCCCTTTGTGCCAAGCAAAACATGGGTGATGCTTTTGCTTGGGTCCAGCCTCTTCTTTTGATGCACCTAAGCCTTGATGCGTCTAAACCTTGTAGCCACACTGTTATTTTTAAAATGAGCATTGGGAAGGTAGAGAATGCCACTCTGTCAATGTGTTTTGGAGCAAATGACCCTGTATTTCAGTGGGAATGTCAGGCTGGAGCAATTACGTGTTTTAGTCTTCCCACTCTTTAAAAAATTGATATTAGTGCGGAAACCCTGTTATCATTTTAGCTACAGAGCCACCATTGCTTCGCTGTAAGAGAGGACTGTCACCTCTCACAACAGCTTAACACTCGCAGCGATGGGTTTGTACCGAAAGACCCGGTGGGAATGGGATCGGGAAATGAGTCAAAAGCCTGGGGGATAAGGGACCGCAAGGCTGGAAAGATGCAGGAGCGTAAAATGAGGGAAAAGCTAGGGGTGTTTTTCGGCAGATCCCATTAATAAACAACTACCTTTTTTTCAATGGGGAAAAAAAAAATGGAGAGGAGCAAAGGACAGAACAGGGGATGCTCTTAGGCAGCTTCTACAGTGGAGGTTTAGGCAATCCCAGGGGCTGCAGAGAAGACGGATGAAGATCAACTGCTTTTTGCAGCGCCAAATGACACTGGCAGCTTCGCAGCAAAGGGATGTTGCATGGAAAAGAACCTTGTGCCTTCTTGGAAATTCCCTCCACTGCAGGTTTTTGGAGGCTGGGGAAGTATGTGGACAATGTGTGTGCCCCGTGGATAGCCTCATCCCTGGGCTGCAGCTCTTGGAGGGAGGATTCTGGTGATGGTGGATTTGGGGTACAGCCACTTGGCTCTTTTTATGGATGCACAACTGAAAAAGAAAGCTTTAAAATGTTTTAAAATGCTCCGCGTTAGGGTCTGGGCTGGAGGGAAAGGCGCCTGTGTGGGAACCCCATGTCCACAGCGGAGCAAGCAGCAGCGCCTGCCTTCGTGGGGGCCTTGGAACCAGCTGCGCTTTCTCCGCTCTGTTTACTTCAAATTGTCAGGGTTTGGGTTTGGGACGTTGCTAAGCCCCAAGCGGTGCCTTTCCGGCAGCTCCACACTCTTT